CACTCTACCCAGGTGGACAGCTTGAGGCTCTGTCTCAAAAAAAAAAAAAAAAAGAAAAAGAAAAAGAAAGACTCACATGTACCCCCATAGGATAAACCATAGATGTAATCCCACCAATCGCCCTCCCTCCACCTATCCTCCCCCCTCCCCTCCCTCTCTCCTTTCCCCATATTCTTGGGCTAAAATTGGGTTATAGCTTTCCTATGAAAGCTATAAATTAGTTTTATAATAGGGTTGAGTACATTGGATATTTTTCCTTCCATTCTTGAGATACGTTGCTAAGAAGAATAGTCTCCAGCTCCATCCATGTAAACATGAAGGAGGTAAAGTCTCCATCTTTCTTTATGGCTGCATAGTATTCTATGGTGTATTTAAACCATAATTTATTGATCCATTCATGGGTTGATGGGCACTTGGGCTTCTTCCCTGACCTAGCAATTATGAATTGGGCTGCAATGAACATTCTGGTACAAGTATCTGTATTGTAGTGTGATTTTTGGTCTTCTCAATATATACCTAGTAGAGGAATTACAGGATCAAATGGCAGGTCTATTTTTAGTTCTCTAAGTGTTCTCTAGATGACTTTCCAAAAGGGACGTATTAGTTTGCAATTCCACCAGCAGTGCAGAAGTGTTCCCTTTTCTCCACAACCACGCCAGCATCTGTGATTTTGGGATTTTGTGATATGGGCTAATCTTACTAGTGTTAGATGGTATCTCAAAAACAACTATGGATTTTTAACTTTTCTCTGAGGGGTCACTCATAACTGTTCTGATCTTTGTGATACTTTAAAAGTGGCAGACCAAGTGGAGGTTGTAGATGTAACCAGAAATTGCTCCCTAATTCTGTGGAGATGCCCTCCAAATCATATATGGCAGTGGTTCCTTCTAATCAGAGAAGAAACGGGCAATTGTGTGGTTATATCTCACTGCTGGTTTAGGACTTTTGTGGCACTATGTGGCCTCAGCCATTGAGAAATGCCCCTGTTACTTCCATCTCTGCTCAGTACTTCATACACTTAGGTGTGCAGGCACCCAGTTCCATAAATATATGGATCAATGTATTGTTCTCAAAGCTAATTTGACAAAGCCTACTTGTTTGTATTATGCAGCTTTTATTTAAAAAGCCTAAGATTCCAGGAGAGGGAGGCACATTTCCAATCACAGGGTGTATTAAAAAGCCCTAGTTGGGACCATAAGTCCCCCTCCAGCAACCAAGGAGGACAGTTTTTGAGGAGTTACACAATATTTATAGGCCAAGATTGTAAGAATGAATTTCATGCCATATTCTAATTTTGAGGATGTTTGAAGTGGTGTTACATGGATGTACATCTTGGCCTCATACACACAATCTGAGCATCTCAAACCCTTCTCTACATCAGAATCTAGAAAGATTGCAAACACTTGTGAACACTTATTCTGTACTTCCCACATGATACTTTTTTGGAGAAATTCTAAGCCCAATACTTTGAAGATTAAAATGTCCCACTTCAGGAGAGATGTTTCCCCTTTAGAGTTCAAGAGCAATGAAGGTTGTTCATGAACTACTTGGTTGGACATGCTGTTTGTTCTGATAACCTAGCTGACATCAAGTGGTATGAGCTACGTGCCTTAATCACGTAGTGACATGAGTCCTAAAACACTGGAATAGCAATTACATCTCTGTGAATTACCCATAGAGACAGAAGAGATTGTAGGGATTTTTGGGGGGGGGGTAGGGAGAAGCACTAGCATTTCTTAAACATATTTGACAGGGTCTCTGTTAAATTCATACTATGCATTTTCTCATTTAATACTTAAAGCAGTCTCTTATGAGGCAAGAATTATTATCCCTATTTCACAGAAGAGGAGAACAAGGCTTATATTATTGGCAAGGGTCACAAATCTGGCACGCAATCAGCTTTTTGCCCACTCAGCGTGATCCACAGTACCTTGTTGCATAGAATCTTCTAGCATCTCGCCACGGTTGTACAAGATCATTTCCTCTCTCCTGCTCTGGAGGGGCGGGGGAGATTCTTAAATCTCTGCAAAGCCAGTGTTGCTGCTGGCCCACTACCCAATTATAAGTCAAACACATCTGCCATGACTGTTCTAGGAATGGGAGGATGTGTTTTAATACACAAAAATAAGCTCATTCACTTCATTTTCACCAGAGCTGATAATACCATTCCTTTGTCTACAAGTATACTCTGGCCAAAATCAAAATCAAGGGCACCAAGTCTTCAAAACTAATCTTTTTCTAAGGACCTGTGTTGTTGGGTTTCTCTCCCATGTTGTAAACAAAGGAAACTACCCTGTATACCTTTGCCAGGTAGTGAGAAGCACTGTTTTTTTTTTTAAGATGTTATCCTCTCTCAGTGGGAAACAGGGAACTGTCCATTATTCCTTTGCTGAGTCCACCGTGGAATGGCCTCATGACTGAAGTATTTCAGGCAGGACTGTGCCATCCCTGTAAAAAGCACTCTAAATACAGCCATTTGTAGGTGGCAGCCATGTTCCAGAGGGCGGGATTGGTTCTTCAGTGAAACCACGCCATCATCATATTGAGATAAGACTGTCTCCTACTATAGCAATTTCTAACAAAATTCTACTTTTGTTTCAGTAACAAAATATGGGCATAACTGTTCATAATGGCACTGTATTTCCACCTTGAATCACCACCGATTAACATGAAGAATCAGATTTTTTTTTTCTCAAGCCTCAATTTTTCAGTCATGGGGTATAAAGTTTTAAAAACAATAATCTGTGCACAGTCTGATTCGATTGACCATATCTGTGCCTTCCCACACCCATCCAATTAAGTGCGATAAAAGAACAGATAAGAGGAAGAAAAAGGCGGGGAGGAAAGAATGAGGGAAATGTTTATTGAGACTGAAATGGAACATTGTTCTCTTTTATGAGTTAATAGCACACAGTGTTAAGAGGCTGGTGACAGACCAACTCCAAAACAAGGACGACAGGCAGTTCTCTGCCAGCTCCAGTTTCACTAACTGGAGCAACCTGATGCAGGGGTAAAATCATTCAGCACAAGAGAAATTACTGATTCAACTTCATTTATATTTAGATTTATTTCCTACAAATAATACCAATATTTGCATGTTAAAATTCACATTGAATCACTGCTCACTATTTATGATGTTTACATTACAATTCAGTATCATCCTGTTGAAGATTTCAGGTGCAGGTGGTCAATACTGAGAGTTTATTTACTCTTCTGCTATCTGCTATCTTTGGCACAATTTCTGGTTTCTTAAATCGAAAAGCACAGGTTTAAGTTGGCTACACAATACTGCAGAAACATAATTATTTTAGATCTCAGTGTAAATACAGGAGTATGTTAAGCATTATTTACAAGATGAAAACTGAAGCACAGACTTTGATAAGCTATCTTCATAAATTAGGAGGAGAATGACAAGCAGAGGGTTTTAATGAGTAGGGCCAAGATTGCTAGTTACAACAGTCCTTTCTGGAGGAGGAGACAAGTATGGTAGAATGGAAGAATCTCCCCTGAACCACTGATATCAACATCTCATGTCATGGGATTTACTTTGCAAGAATCCAGGGTAGAGACAGCTTTTTTCTGTAATGTGTCTTGTTCAATCCACAGAATCTGTATTAAAATACAACTTAGTTGGTAGCTTGCCACTATTGTTTGGGCCCCAGTGGATACAAAAGTGCAAGGGTGGCAAAGTACCGGCCTCTTTAAGCGGATATGAATGAACTTGGAAGAACGAAGCCTTCTAATTGAATAAAAGAACATTCCAGTCTTTGTATGCAATGTTATATAGAGCTGACATGGATTCCCTCCAGGCAGTTTGAATCTGGAAGTTGTGAGTGAATGGCTATGCCACCTTGGAGTATCACTGTAATACACCTCTGATTTAGGGCTGATACACAGAAGTGAAAGGATCAAACAATGTGATTTCTCATCCTAGTGCTCCTGAGAAACCCTGAAGCAGACCTGGGTTGGAATTGTAGTTATTATTCAAGTACATCAGAGCTCTTTATTTCACATTGACAGTTCAACTCTGATCTCTATCTGGCAAATTATATGAAAATAATAAATATATATACACACACGCGCACACGCACACACACACACATATATATAGATAGGTCTATGCTGAACACTGGGGTGAACAGTTACCAGTGTCCCATACAGTACATTTAAAAAAGAACCCTCTCCCTTCCCCCCAAACCCTATGCCCATCTTGAAATTGTTATTGCAGAACTGTGCTGGTCTGTTTTCTTTCAAGAAGTTTCTTAGAGATTGGCTGGAGATGAGTTCAAAATGAATAATTTGGCACATTATCTGGGGAGAGGTTTTTAGAGGCATTATAATCTGTAAAAAAGTGAGAGGGCCAAGGAAATCCATGCCAATAGAAAGCCTGAGTAGAAATTTGTAACTAATGACAGAATATTTTAAAAACCCAAAATACTGGTCTGTGCATGAGAAAGCAGTTTTTCTTCCATATCCATTATGTAATTCTAACAGTTAACTATTTTACATACTTCCAAACTTTGTCTCACAGAATTTTCAAAACCCAGATAATACAATTTTCCTTTTAATCAGCTTCCTTTCATCTTACTCCACCCTTAAATCTCAAAACCAGGAGAGCAAAGGCTGTGAATCCAAGTATAGAAAATAACCTGGAGGTCTACTGAATCAAATGTACAACTGGTCATTAGTGCTTTTCTTTTCCTTATTTAATGTTTGAATTTGCTATGAGATGACCCTCACGGAGAAGTCCTTCATCCTTCCCAGTCACCTGATGCCAGGGCTCTAGAACTGTGAAGTCTGGGTGAACGAGATGGTGTCAGACTTGTCCACGGCAAAGCCTCCGTTGACATATGACTTCTTGGTGTCTGGGTCTTCGTTATCGAGGATTGTCGATTCCAAGGCAAAGGGGTTCACAATGTTGACCTCAGATGAAACGTCCATCTGCTCCAGTTCCTTCTTAGAGAGCTTTTCCACGATGCCTGTCCCAAAAGCATCACCGAGCACATTGACCATGGTCCTAAACCGGTCCCTGAGGAAGAGACAGGAGGCCCAGATTTCATTTTCCTTTGCCTTTGAGAGACAAAAGGACCTGACACGTTCACTTCAGATTTAAGTAAATCCAGATCATGCTGTCCTCATGACTGACTGACCAGAGTTCCCTTCACAGGTCTTGGCCAGAAAAGGTCATTTTTAAAGCACAGGATGAGCACATAGGTTGCTCTCCCAGACTCACTGGGTCTGTGCTCCCAGTGAGTAGCAATAATTCTCCTAAATCTTCCTCAAGTCCTTCCTTTCCTTCCAAAGAAGTGTGAATAGAGTCTTCTAGATTTGGGGGAGACTAAAAGAAGTTCAGAATTCAGTAAGTCTTTCAGTCCTAACCTCTGTCTTGGGGGTTTTCCAGATTCATTGCAAATGACATTGTGGTTTCTTTTTTAGTTAAGGTGAGAGAACTTAGGATGTTTTGTTGCAAGTGTATCTGCCGTGTGTGTGTGTATGTGAGAGAGAGTGGTGTGTATTCATTCATGTCCCTGATGTACTTATTCCTTTATCAAACTAGATAACACTATTTGTGAACAAGCAGCAGGGATGCCACATAACAGAAGGTCAGAAAACACGGGTCAGCCCAGGAATGGATTTACCCCCAATACACCCTCAGCCCATCTCAAATCCCCAATAGCCTAGAGAAGAGAGGGGTGGCAGGCAGATCTGCAGAGAAGGCACACTGCAGGGGGGGAGGGATGTCTATTAATATTTGATGCTGGCTTTGTGACATGAACTGTGTGCATGGGTAATCTTGTGAAAACTATACCTGCAGGATAGAAAAGGCCAGCAGAACTTACACACACACTCTGGATGGCCTTCTGTTATTTAGAACAAGGCCAAGCATGAACTTGCCTCATGTCTTTCTATCCCATGACCTCAGATTGGACCTTTGACTCATCTGGGTATCTTGGCAGTGAAGGGCACCAGTTCCAGGAAGAACCAGGGAAAAGAGAGAAGTGCAAATCTACTAACACCACTAGAAAGAAAAACCAGATCTTGCCTCAGTGGTAGGGTATCTTTGCTAAAAGGGTGCCATGTGGAGGGTCCTGGCTGCCGAGGCAGCACTGCCACATGCACAGCTTCCAAGCCAGGCACAGGGGCTTTTTGCCTTCTGGAACGAGAATCTGTATCTCTGCTTCCCTTTCCTCCATCTCAGCTGCTACCTGCAAACTCCAGTACATAGCCTTGGGCTCCCCAGTAAGCCTGAGTCAGCTAGTAAGACACAACGTGGGGACCCAAACCCAGGCCACTCTACCCCAAAGCCTCTGCCTGGGGCCACTGCCCCTAATGGCTCTGAAGATGCTTAGGAAGAGGGACTGGTTTTGAACCAAGTGGTTCTGAGCCTATGATGCTGAACCAAGGCTGGGATAGGACAGGATGGCCTAGGGCCTTGCCCACCTTCTTCACCTGATTATTCTGTTTATTTCCATCCCACACCTAGCTCCTAACCTTGGGCATTACTAGATATAATGAGCTAATGAAGCTCACTGGCTTTTTAAAATCACTGTCCCAAGTTATGAGGAGTTAATTTTTAAAAACATTATCAGATGGCCTGGTCAGAGGGAAATTAAAGCAGCAACAGGTGGCTCATTAGGCAATCTGAGCAGAGAATGATGACACACTGCAGAGTCTGCACAGCTGGCAGGCCTGCTTGCCCACCGGCTGAGGCAGTACATTTATTGCAACTCACAGGAGCCAGTCAACAGCGATGATTAGGGTGACGTCCTCAGCAGGCAGGCCCACGGCACTCAGCACGATCACCATGGTCACCAGGCCGGCCTGGGGCACACCGGCAGCCCCAATGCTCGCAGCTGTGGCTGTGATACTATAGCCAAACACACCAACAAGAAAGAAGTTAGTCACCCATCTCCCCCATTAAGGCCTCTGGCCTGAAATCATCTGTCCCTATTGTTCCTGCTGTGTCCCCAGATTGAACAGGTAGAATCTATTATCTGCCGAGTACCAGGTCTGCCTCCGTATAGGATGAGAGGTGTTGGGGCACTGGGAAGAGTACGATGCTGTCTCCTTGCAGGAGGCAGACATGGCACACTGCTTTAATGTAGGGAAGAACTACATGAGTGGTACCAAAAATGAGCAAGAGAAACATTCAAGGGGAAGGCAAAAGTTTACCAACTGGGGAGTTTATAGAAGGCTTTATCAACCCATCCATGCATGCATCCATCCTGAATACGTGCCAGGTACCTCTCTACCTGCCTGCCTGCCTTCTCCCTTCTCCCATCTACTCACCCACCCAGTCATTCCCTGGGCACCTAATACATGTGTGTGTCAGCAACTTAAGTTGCCTTGAAGGATGGGTAGAGGGATGGTACCAAGTGGAAGTGTACAGGCAAGGGCATTTCAGGTGAAGGCAACGGAATGAGGCATGAGTAAGCAGGGTTTATGCCCTCTCTTGACATCACAAGATTCTACCTCTTTGGGAGCTGCCCTTTAGGGCACTGAATTGAGAAACAGCTATGACTCCTGTTCAAGGTACAAGCATTTATTCCTGACTGCTGCTTTTTTGCCAGTGGATGTGCTTTGCACAAAAGGATTCCTCTCTTGGAATCCAGGACAGGCAGCTAGATAAACTTTATTACCATGTATTTAAAAAGATCTTTCTTGGGTAGATAAGATGTGACGCTAGAGATTTTTCTCTTCAGAATGTGCAGGTTTTCATCAGTAAAGTCTCCCTTAGTTTAATGGGATCATTCTGGAGGAAGCAAGGGTTCAGAATGCCCTAAAAAGTTTCTCAATTTGGATGAGCTTGAGGGGATACCCATAATACTTTTTGGAGGTATGTCTTTGCCCTTGATGCCATCGGGTGTTAAAAGGTGAAAATCTAGAAAATGTCAATTTAAACTAAAAGAATCCCTGATTCTATCCACAAGTTCATGTTCCTATGGGCTCAAAAAGTCTGAGTTCTGAGGATGCTGAAATCTATGGCCCATTCATCTGCCTACTGATGTGTTGCCAAAGGGCATTTGAGGGTACAGTCAAACGTGGCCAGAGCTTTCACTGAGTGGCTGTGGCCACTAATTTATAGTAAATTAAATTTTTACTGGGGCTGTACCAATTTCTTTAAAGGTTTCAGGCCCCTGCATAATTCTTTAGATCTGTTCTGACCTAAGTACTCTTTGGAAAATCCCCAAGTTTAATGCTGGTTGAAGAAAAATTTAAACTGAATGCATCAATGAGTTTTCCTTGTCAGAAGTGATTTATGCCCATGCCCATTGATCCCCCTTGGAAGCCCTGACATGTCACAGTTAACCGTGTTCCTATAGCCTGAGACTGGCCTTGAAACTCAAAATCCATTTAGTCAAGATAAAGCTGCCTTTGTGCCTTCACTTTGCTAGGCTTTGGCAGTTTGGCTTTGGTCTGATGCTTGAACTATAAATCTTCAGACTGGGGAAAATAATATGAAAACCTATTCTTGCTGCTTGAACATATCCTACTTTGACTTGAGGGTTTTCACAGAAGACAACGTAATAATTATTGGGACAAAGTTCTTTGCTTGTACTGAGGCCTAGTTTTAGGACAGGCTATTGAATTAGGTCCTCAATGGGTTGAAGGCTGGGTTGTGAACTGGAGTGAACGTAGGTTTTTAGAGTCAGACTCATCTTAGTTATACGTGGGCTTTGCCATTTTACTGTCAGTGTTTCCTTAAGCAGGTTACTTTTCTGAAGCTCAATTTCTTGCCTGTGAGATGATGACAGTATGTCTACTTTGTAGGCTGCTATGAAGATTTAATGAGGTAACATATACAAGGCATCTGGTATAGCACCTGTATAGTATATGCTTAAAAATATGCCATTCTAATGCTCCAGGACATTGCCCTGGGGAAAGATATTTTTGTGTAAGACCTTAAAAGCATAGGGAATCTTGCTGGGCACAGTAGTTTACATCTATAATCCTAGCACTCTGGGAGACCAAGGTGGGAGGACTGTTTGAGCTCAAGAGTTCGAGACCATCCTGACCCCATCTCTACTAAAAAAAATAGAAAAACTAGCTAGGTGTCATGCTAGGTGCTTATAGTCCCAGCTACTTCACAGGCTGAGGCAAGAGGATTGCCTGAGGTTGCTGTCAGCTATCATAATGCCACAACACACTATGCAAGGTAACAGAGTGAGCCTTTGTATCCAGAAAAAAAAAGGAATCAAAGCAAAAATAGACAACTGGGATCAACTGGGATCATATCAAGCTAAAAAGCCCTACACAGCAAAAGAAACAACCAACCAAGTGAAGGGACAACCCACAGAATGGAAGAAAATATCTGTAAACTACCCATCTGACAAGGGATTAATAGCCACAATATATAAGGAGCTCAAACAACTCAATACCAAAATATAAATAATCAGATTAAAAATGGAAAAATGGGCAAAAAATCTGAATAGACATTCTCAAAAGAAGACATAAATGGCCAAGAGATATATTAAAAAATGTTCAATATCACTAATCATCAGAAATATGCAAATCAAAACCACAATGCAATGTCATCTGACCCAAGTTAAAATTGTTTGGATTAAAAAGAAAGGCAATAGTAGATACTAGTAAGGATACGGAGACAGGGGAACACTCGCTCTCTGTTGGTGTAAATTCGTGCATCCACTATGAATGAAGAACAGTAAGCAGCTTCCTTAAAAAGCAAAAATGCGACTACCATATGACCCAGCGATCCCACTGCTGGGTATAGATCCAAAAGAAAAGAAACCGCTAATCAAAGAGATACCTGCACTTGCATGTTCACTGCAGCACTGTTAATGATAGCCAAGATACAGAATCAACCTAAATGCCCATCAACAGATGAACAGACAAAGAGACTGTGGTACACATACACACTGGAATACCCGTCAGCCATAAAAAGAATGGAATCCTGTCATCTGCACAATGTGGAAGGAGCTGGAGGTCCCTGGGGGAAGTGAAATAAACCAGGCACAGAAGGACAAATATAACATGTTCTCACTCATATGTGGGAGCTAAAAAAGTGGATCTCATGAAAATAGAGTAGATTGGTGGCTACCAGAGGCCAGGAAGAGGGAGGTGGTGGGATGAAGGGAATAAAGAGAATATGCATATATTTATCACCACTGACCTGTACACTTAGAGATAGTAAAGATGGCAAATTATATATGTATGTTATTACCTAGATCAAAAAGCCAAAAACCCCATGTCATTTTGCTCTACTTTCTCAACACTGGCAGCTGCTGCTACTTTTTCTACAGTTTCTATTGCTGCAGCTGTGGGCATGGCTACCCCTGCTAATGCTGTAGCAATGACCAAAACGAGAACTCCTGCTATTACTACTGCTACTTTTCTCCTCTAAGCTCTTTCTAGGCCACAAATCCTATAATTATCTTTATTTATAGTATAATTTATTCAATCTTAAATCAGTTGTAACCTTTGATAAATGAATATCATGATAAAATCACAAAAGGTGATGTTTTGGGTAGATGGTACCCCATGTTTCTTTGATGTCCACTGTGGGTCTAAACATCTTCCTTGACCATCAGTCACATGAGCTATACCTACAACCTGTAAAGTTAAAACAACTTTTGTTATTTCCCAGGTACAGCCAGAGAGGATTTTTGACTTTAAGTCACTGATTGCTTTCAACCTTACAGTTGTTTTTGCTTCTGGGCCAGTAGTTATAAGCAAGTCTAATTTAAGAATACACCAGAGAGTAGGGAGAGAGGTTTTAAAGTGAATTGACTATTTAGCCTCTAGACCCAAAGTTGATTCTTCTAGTAGTTAGGTAAAATTAAAAAAAAAAAAATGGCTAGAAAGACCAGGAAAACTTACAACAAAGGAAGAGGAAAGAAATTCATCATAAAATAGCAAACACACGAAGGAACCGCCACTCCTTGGAAATCAGTTCCGTGCAGACTGATGATTCCACAGGCCACAGTAAAGAGAGGTGGGCAGAAATCCTTAGAAGTGTAAAAGCAACACCCACATAGGAAGCTGTGTGGCAGAAACTATCTCAGGCATGATTCAAGTTCTTAATTTTAACACACTCTCTGCTGCTGATAGGACTTTACTTGAGCTCCTTGGCTCTGGCTTCTTTAGCCACTAATACTTTTTATAGATGATAGAGTATCTGGATAGTGTCCCAGCTATTGTGCCAATTGGTATATTTTACACTTGTCTTCAGTTTTAAGCAAACAACAATAAATATTTCATGATTAGGGTTGGGGAGGATTTCAAAAATGTACTGTATTAGAACGCCATTAGTTAACAAACTTACTTTAGGCTTAGAATTTATGTCTAAGACACAACGGTGAATTAACTCCAAAAGGTTCAGATTCAACCTGCATAGGCCTAGGGACCCAGGTTTGTCTTAAACTTCTACTCTATACTAAAGTCTCCAGGTAAACTCTGATCCCAGCTTATCACTCCAATGCAGAACTTGTCCAGTAGAACTTTCTGCAATGATGGGAATGTTCTGTATCTGTGTCATCCAATTCAGTTAGCTATTTGCTTCATGTGGCTAGTGGCTACCATATCAAGAAACAACTAGGGAAATACTTCTGGCAAAATTCACTGAAGATACTTCTACCATCTACTTGAGCAGACAATTTCTGTCCTCACTAGACCAGAATTCTCTGTAGTATCTGACTTTGTGGATAATTTAATCCTTGAAAAATCTCTCTTCTCTCAGTTTTCATGACACCATGGTTTCCTGACTCCCCTCCCACCTCTCTGTCCTCAAGACCCTCCCTCTAGGGTTCCCTTTTCTCCACTTACCTCTGACATTAGGATTTTCTAAGGTTTAGTCCGAGTCTCCTTTTCTCCACATACTCTCCCAGTGTCCTGCGTCCTTTCCCAACACTCACTGAGCGCTCACCATGTAGGCACTGTCCTAAGCATTTTATATACAGCACCTTACTTAATCACTACTACCTGAATAATGGAAGCTTAGAGTATTCAATTTTTTTTTTACTTGCCCAAGATCACAGCTGATCATTTTGTATAGCTGAAATTCAAACAGACACACGTTTGAAGACCACCATTAAACTGACATCCCTGACTTCTGTATGTGTATTCTAGACCTACATTTCTTATTGCATATCTCCACCTGGACGTCTTAAAGGCAAGTTCAGTATATCAAAAAGTATAACTCTTTGCCTTTTCCACCTATACTTGCTTCTCTTGCGCCAGTCTCTGTTCTGGTGAGACCTATCCACCAATCCAGAATGATCTATCAATCCTGAGAGTAATCCTTGTCTTTCCCTGTCCCTCAGCCTGACTCTACCCAATACCTCTTCCACCTATTAGCTCCTCTCAATCTCCAGTGTCAGTCCCTTGGTGTGGGCCTTTTGAAATACCTTATTTGGACTTCTGTATGCCTCCTAACCAGTCTTCTAGCTTGTGGTTTCAGCCCTCGTCCAATCCATCCACTATATTGCCAGTTACCCTCTCTAAAATGCACATCTGTCCATAATATGACAAAAACCCTTCCATGAACTTCCCATACAAAGTCTTTCATGATATGACCTTCACCTCTTCATTCATTTATGTTCTTCACATCATGTCTTTTGTGCCAGGCACAACAAATAATCCACACTCCATAGCTAGGCTATGAATACGTCACAAGCTACTTCCATTATCCAAAATGCTCGTAAGCTCCTTCATTGCCTGCTAAAGAGCTAAATTCCTTTTGCTCTTCTAAGATTCGGCTAAAGTTCCCCCTCCTCTGGGAAGCTTTCCCTCACCTTCCCAGGTAGAGCTAGCTCTTCCTCCTCCCTGCTCTCTCTGACCCCCACAAAAGGCTCTGTTATAGCTTTCATCAATCTCTCAGCATTCACTTGGGTATCTGTATCCCTTTCTATCAGGAGACTTTTAAAAGCAGGGATTGGTCATTATTCAACCTTGAAGCTTTGTGCCTACTCTGTGCCCAGCACCTGGGTATACTGACTGAACACAGAATGATGCCTTTGGCTACCTGGACCCTGAAACAGAAATCTTGTATATCATGAGTCCACTACATTATAATATAGTTGTAAACCAAGAAAAATGATTGATTACTGGGCAATTCTTAGTGTCCCTTTACAGACCCTTTTACTTGAGGCAATCCCAGGGAAGTGATGAAATATGATTGTGACACCACCTCACCTGATGGTGACGATCTGCCCAATGCCCAAGTCCAAGTCGTTCAGCTGTGCGATAAACACAGCCGCCACAGCTTCATAGAGTGCAGTCCCATCCATATTGATCGTAGCACCGACAGGCAGCACAAATCTCGTGATCCTCTTGTCCACATGGTTGTTTTCTTCAGCACAACGGAAAGTGACAGGCAGTGTTGCCGAACTGTGCAATAAAAAAGAGAAAAGAACTTACGGTCTAGGGATGCTGGCCCTCAGTTCCTACTTGAAGAGACACCTCTTTTCCAAAAAGTAAAGGCCCAAAGCATGCTGGCCCTTTTGGCAGGTCCAGGAATCAGAAGGTCCTGTACCTACCACTGTTCCTGGCTATCCAATGACCCCTTCCTGGGTGAAGGCCATGCCAAGGCAGAGAATATAAATTCAACAGGGTGAAAAAACACGCTCAAGGGTGGCACGGAGAATATGGAGGTCATTTCTCAAAAGGGACCACAAAAACCACAAGGTAGAGTCCATTTGGTCAAGTGAGGAGAGAGTTGATAAAGTCTGGCCTGAGGCTTCCTCTAAGAACCCTTCTTCTGCTTACCTGGAAGAGATCATCAGAGCTGTCAGGAGAGCCTGGGCCATTCCCAGAGCAAACCGGAAGGGGTTCTTCCTTACAACTATGAAATATATCAGTGGGAGAATTACAATGGAGTGGATTGCCAGCCTGTAACACAGAGAGAAACAGTTTCAAAGATAATGCCACCTCCTCATATTTAATCCTTTTATCCAACAGCTTTTAAATTCATGATGTTGTTCAATGTTCATAATGATCTAATGAGAAGTGGCCTGGGAATATATGTCCCCATTCCATGTACAAGGATGCAGAGGGTCACTCTGTAAATGGAGCATCTTGTCAGAGTTAATGGCAAAGCCAGGAGCTGAATCCAGATTTCAGAGTTCACAGAAAAGGGCTACATCATGCTGCCACACACTGCATGCTGTTCCTGCCACACGCACTGCTGAATTCTTACTCCTCCTCCATAGCTCAGCTGGACCTATCCCCTCCTTCAGGAAGCTGCTCTCATTGTCCCAGGTAGAGCTGGTCCTTCCCTCCTTGGCACCCTCTGGGTCCCTCATACATTGTACCTCATTACAGCCCTCACCACAGCCTCCCTCTATCCTCTGCACCATGCCACTGCCTGGACAGCACCCACCATCTAAGAGGGAAGCCAGAATCGCAGGAAGGACATAGTCCCTGCATACTTTAGGACTGACCCTCTTTTCTCTATCATCTCTGCCTTCCAAAACTGTTTCTTGTTTCACGTGGAAATATATAGATTACCCAAATAGAGGGGCTTAAGAAATGAGACTCATTTGGCAGATAGCATGATGACAACCTAGAATTTACAGATCAGTCATGTGAGTTTGAAATAACAGGAAATGGTCATTGAAAATACAGATCCTGAAGGTTTGAAAAGAGGCTCTTCTTGAAAGAGAGCTTATGGGCAAGAACTATGAGGAGTATTTTTTTTTTTTTTTTTAATAATTGAGACAGAGTCTTGCTCTGTTGCCCAGGCTAGAGTGCTATGGTGTCAGCCTAGCTCACAGCAACCTCAAACGCCTAGGCTCAAGTGATTCTCCTGCTTCAGCCTCGTAAGTAGTGGGGACTATAGGAACATGGCTAATTTTTTCTATTTTTAGTGGAGACAGGGGTCTTGCTCTTTCTGGCTGGTCTTGAACTCCTGAGCTCAAGCTATCCTCCCACCTTGGCCTCCCAAAGTGCTAGAATTATAGGCATGAGCCAGCACACCTGGGCCAGAACTGACTTCTAGTTTTCTGTTCAAAACCTAGAAAGGATGAGAGAACAGAAACCAGTAGAACTCCATTATGGAATGGCTGGGTATACCTCAGCCACATCAGTAGCCCCAGAGCACGACAGTCTCTAGAGAGGCAGAGGCCCCACCTCCCCGGATTTGTCTCTAGCCCTTGCACCATAGAAACCCAGGCTGCTTCTGTGCTTGTAGCAGGGCTGTGCTTTTGCCAAACACAGATTAAGAACCAAATGCTGTGTGACTGAAATGTCCTCCATCCTGCACCCAATGCAATCAAGTTTCAGTAGGTAAGTTGACCTGGGGTATTGACCTTTGGGTCAAATCAATGATATTTACTCATCCCTTGGTCCATATTTCTTAGTATATGTGACATAGCCTTCTGCTGGCTAGGTGCCCAAGGGCACATTCATAACCTGTTTCATCATATCTCTTTCAAGGAATCAATACCTGGGTTGTAATAAATATGCAAATGACCAATCCCCTGATGCCTAAAAGTCTTATGGTGTCTAAAAACCTCACAATTCCTCGTGGCCTCAGGATTTTCCTAGCACCCTTGCTGGCATCCTGATGGTGCAGGGCACTCAGTGGTCAGCCGTCCAGCACTGGCGTGGGAGCCAGCCAGCCATCCTGATCTTACTTGCTGTAGCTTGATTTCATCTAGGCTGCTCCTAATTCCTTTCAGGCACAGAATACATCAAGGCTTTCTTATTTGTGTGGCTAGTTTAATTCTTGAGGAAGTAAAGTCCAGGAGAGAGCCAAGAGAGGCTACGAGTGGGTTTCTCTTTTGTTTTAAAAATGATTTTAATACAGCCAATAAAGGCAGTGACAAAGCCTGGTCCAGGATGTTCTGCCAAGAGCTGGCAATTAGCATGGCGTGATCCACCTACAGCACAGCTGTTAAAGGGCAGCCCTCCTCCCCCGCTCACTTATCTCTGAACCCTATCTTCCCCTGATGGGGAAGAAAAGCTGATTTTGGCCCACTGAAACCCAGCCTCTCAGCAGACATCCCATTGCATCAGAGATGTTTCTGTTTCTTCTCTCGAGTCTGACATACCCAGTCAGGACTGTGGCCATGTAAAGGCCCAGCTTGCGGAAAATTTCCCAGTCTTCGACTTCTATGATCTTCCCGGCAATCAGGAACAAAATACCAAGAGGCATGTAACTAGAAAGTAAGCACAACAAGGTCACATGTTTTCTTAGAATGAGGCTGTTGGGAAAGAAACAAGCCCGGGCATGTAATCTTGGCTTGGCCTGTTCACTCAGCTGGTGGGGGCACAGGGTACATAGTGAAGCTAAGGGCTTTCTCAAGTTTTGGGTAGACTATGTTGGCTCAGATTTTAGAACCTGAATGCACCTGCAATTTTACCCACCTAAACTACTATAAAGGTGGTTTGCAAACTTCATGAGGACATGTGGTCAGACTGGTGTGTCCCCCAGTGCACATGTATCCTGCTGACTGTCATATCTGCTTATCCCTCTTGAGCTTGACCCTCACTGCCAAATGTGGGTGTGAGCCATGGTCATCTTGCTTCCTAGGAATCAGCATTAGAAGCAACAGTATTAGTAGAGGAAACAGTCATGATAGCTCTATTTGTGGAGTTCTCATTACATCTTCTGTTGAAGAAAATATCTTTTTTTTTTTTTTTTCAGACGGAGCCTCAAGCTATCCCCCTGGGTAGAGTGCCATGGCATCACAGCTCACAGCAACCTCCAACTCCTGGGCTCAAGCGAGTCTCCTGCCTCAGCCTCCCAAGCAGCTGGGACTACAGGCGCCCGCCACAACGCCCAGCCATTTTTTGGCTGCAGCCATCATTGTTGCTTGGCGGGCCCAGGCTGGGGATTCGAACCTGCCACCTTAGGTGTATGTGGCTGGCGCCTTAGCCGCTTGAGCCACAGGCGCCGAGCCGAGGAAAATATCTTACATGCATCATTTCATATAAAGTACTTCTCCTAACCCTGGGGATAGGTTTTATTATCCTTTTTTACAGGCCATGAAGCTGAGGTTTCTGCAGGATTAAATGACTTGTCTGGCTGTTTTGACTGAGCCCTTTACGTCACCGTCGATGTCAACACTTAGGATTAAATAATGTTGAGCTAATTGAATATGAGATAAGTGAGGCAGATGCTTCCTAGGATAGGAAGACTTTTTAGTATCACCAGGGACAGGGTAGATACCCCAGTGGTGTCGCTGGTGCACTTACAGATGGCAGCTTCCTTTCAGATGTGTTAGTGCCTATGCCGTAACAGTCAGTAAATATTTGGAATCTCATTTCTGCATGGAGCCTAATGAGGAAAGCACTTGTGTTCTCATGTGCAAGGAACTCCTTTAAATCATTCCTTTAAGAATTATTTCTTATGCGAGTCCTGGTTGGGAGCAAGATGATCTCCCAGGGCTTTGAGGGAAAAGACAATGGATTTTGATAATGAACTAACTCCTGAATAGTATGTGGAAATACCTAATACTCTACTGGCTTATTATTAAATATATACATTCTCTAGGATGAGGTCTGTGGAGAAACATAGCCTCTACTTTCTAATTTTGAGAAGACAGAATTGGCAGGGGAAGCAAAGTGACATTAAACAGTGTCTGCTCACCACATAATGATCTGAACGATTTTCATGGTTGCATCACTCAGAGCATTGAAGAAATCCACCAGAATCTGTCCCTTTTCACCCATTTTCCCAATGACAAGTCCAAAAACGAGGCAAAAGACAATCAAGCCCAGGACATTTATGCCGTCTGAGTACATGCCTACAACTTTGTAGTCCTTTGTTTTGTTCTGTGGATCAAAACCAAGAAAATACATTGATGCACAATTACAATCTTAGAATACGCAGAGTTGAAGTGAGAAGATATGGGAGCCAAAGGTAATAAGCTAGTGACCTACTAGAGTCAACCATACTTTAGAAAAGATTAATAATAGTAATAAAACTTATGCACATAACAAATTTTTGCCCCACCCTGAAATTTAAAGTTTTTTTCCGTCCCTCAATAAATCCATATTTGAATATTTTTTATGAAGATTTCTTATTTGGGAATGTTTTACATTTTTATTACAAATTTTAGAACCAAGGCACCTTTCAGAGTTATTTTAACTAATAGCTACATTTGGAGCCTGCTTTTAAAAAGATAGGAATTAATAATTCAAGAAGTACAAAATATTTACCAGTGTGAACATTTTTAGGACATTTTACTATCTGTTTTACCCTGATAATAAAGAATAAGAACATTCTTTACTGTTTCTGGTCTTAGATGCCCAGTAAGATTTTAGAGATATAAAAATTAACCAGATACTTACTACTGAGCCCTGTCTTCACTTTATCCTGGGTAAAAGTAGCATGAGACTTACCAAGTGATAACGTAATCTGAGTGGTGCAAACCAAATTTATGAAGAATTATGTCAAGGAGCTAGTGGGCTACCAGTCATTTCTTACTTATGATCAAGCAAACATTTAGGGAGCAGCTAGAGTCAGAGTATTCTAATTGCACTGGCAACAGCATGAGGTCTTAAAATTCAGCTGGAGAGACAAGACTAACTGTGAGAAACATGAGCCAATAATAGCAAGATGGTATGTAATTAACCGCACAGCCAAGCTGTTAGTTACAAGCATCTTATGGAGACTGGACCTGAATGAGGGTTTCAGGGTTAGGGAAAGCAAGGCCTGAGGAGTTGGCTACCAGGAGACAAAAGCCTGCTGTGGAGAAGTGGTAAGCCAAGGCAGAAGTCATCGTGTGTTGGGCCTTTGTGCTCATGCTTGAATAATTCTTATTCATGGCCCCCAACCTAACCCCTGTTGAGTGCCCTGAAGCACTCTGTTCTTCCTGATGGCAATACTTATCCTCCTTCATGTGAGGACAGATGCCACACCTGTCTTTTCTCTCTTACAATCCCAGTGCACAGCAGGGCCTGGCACGTGAAGGGTGCTCAGAAAATATTTGTGGAACCACAAGAAAAGGCAGGAATGGGGATTAATGGAGGAGGCACTCTGGATAGAGGAGATGGGCCCACTAGGATGTTAGTGGGCAAACTAGACAGCAGTCAGGGCAGAGAGGGCTTCTGACCTCAACTGGAGGTGATAATGCTTTCTGCACAGGTCCACTTAATTTGAATTCCTAAGGCTACTGATATTTCTTTTTCCTTAAATCTTTCCTTCCTGTGTGAGGCAGAGAACACTTGGGAGAAATTTATGACAGGTGTACAAAGGTACCTCTTCAGGACCACACATTCTAATCCCCAATAATGAAATCACCACAGCTCTCAAAGCCTGATAACTTTATCTATGCATTTACGGCCATCTCTGTCGGTGATAAGGCAGGTGGCAAAACCTATCCTGAACTGAGATAGGGTCCTAATAGTCTATTTCTCTCACTTGGCAGAATATTCACGAGTTTGGTGTAGAAGTACTGATATGCTGGATTATGAAGCGTGGCTGCCAATCTCACTTACGGAGACTGCATAATATGTTGTATACACACCACACAGTCCTTCTGAAGTCTGAGAAATTCTAAACTCTGAATCACATCTGGGCAGAGACATTCAGGCAAGGAGCTGTGGGTCTGCATTCTATGTTTATGTAGCCTTGCCAATCTGCAGCTTTCCCCAGGAGTGCCCAACTCTGCTGTAGGCAGTGGCAGAAATACAGAAGCAGCAAGGCTCTTTCTTCTCTCTCTGTGGTACAGCTGATTCTCTTTATTCCCAACAGTTGTGGTCTATACAGTCCTCCTGAATGCTGTGAATGAGCAAATACCGAATCATTGCTCCTAGAGGAAATACAGGGAGGCTTAGGTACCTGGGAATGCTCGTCACGTCATTTTCATCAAACCATCAATACATTAACATTGTTTTGTTTGTTTCCATTTAAAGACACCTTATGTAATCTATATTGTTGATTTAGTCCACAGACCACTAGCCAACAGCATCGTAACTCACGCTGTATGAAGCCTATCTAACACCAGCTTTCCTCCATAAGGTACAGCACGGTCTTTTACGTGCTTGGAACACAAGGGAGCACTTTAGAACTAGTCTTTGGTCCACTTTAAACAATGAAATCAAGAAAAAACACAAAAATGCAAAAAACTGTGGTGCTAAACACACTGCAAAATGAACACTCATCTACAATACAAGAACCAAAACAAGAAGGCAGAGCAGAGCCTTGTTCAGCCTCAGCTGGGAACAGGTACTTCATGTGACTCCAATATTCTGCTACTCTGGAGTATTGCAGATGACTCCATTAGCCCTGCAAGTATTTCTTTTGGGGTTAAAAAATAAAGTTTAGCAAGTAGATGGATTTACAAGTGCAGATTCTGTGAGAAACGAGGACGGACTGTATTTTTGTCTCCTGTTCACTTCGGGCTCAGGTGCTGCCTGCCGGGGAGGGACCAGAAGGACAGTACCTTAGGAAGAGCAGTTGTCATCATGGCTGTGAAGGACTCCTCAGTCATGTTCATCTCTGGATCACTGGGAGGAGTCACTTCTTCACGTTTCGTTTTGTACTGCATGGTGGAGAAAAAGATGAGTGAACAAACAAACAAATAAAAGGAAGTTTGAACTTTAAGCTTCGAACACATTATTTTCACTGATCAAGTACCACTGAAGGGTTCTACCACCCTTGGTTGGTGATGGCTCCTCCTGTGAGGTTTTATAACTTTTAAAAGGGGGGCTGAGGGATCCAAACCCCTGACGTCCATACCACCATTCAGTAATGTCAAAATGTTCTCTTACTTTCACAATAAGGGACAAATTAATGCAGCAATGATGCAAAAGGAAGTGTAGGTTTTATCGACAGGTGCTTTCCTAGGCTCTGTAAGGATTGCGGTCCATTTATGTTACTATTAATTAATGAATTATTTTTAGTTCTGGGAGAAAACACTTCATCACTTTGATAAAATCATCATGATTTTTATTAACACATAAACATGGGGAAAGGTTTGACTATATGATTGCTCCAAAAACAACAGTCCCTTTAGGGGCTATTTGATGAGCGAGATTTCTGCTGAATTCTCTTTCTTCAGCCCTGTTTGGTTTTGTGGAGCTTCAATATGGAAGCTTAAGAAAGAGCTAGTATTCTGTTACACCAGGCATGAATGTCCCCTTGACAAGGCTCTACCAATATCAACAAATGACCACTGTGGCTGAACCACAGATGTGGTTCTGTCTCTCATGGAGGCCAGCGGGGAGCAATATAATTGCAAAATTTATTAGAATACACAGAAGTGTCTATTCATATAATTCATGTAAATGAATACAGCAGTTTGTGATAGACTCAGCTGTTTTAAAGCAAATAGATAAGTAAGAGAAAAAGGCTCAAAGTCAATGGCATGAAGAGATTGTTATATTTCCCCAGAGAAAATAATCATGGCTTTGTTACATGGCTCCATAGAGTGCCAGACGTAGTGATTAAGTAAAAGATGGAATCCAGAATGTGAACCCCATCATGTGGGTTAGATCTTGGGCTCCAACATGAGAGGGAAAAGGAAAGAGGAGGTAGCGAGATAATTTTTATTTTCCATAGAGAGATTAAGTTTTGGCACAAATATAACACTGTTCTCCAAAAATAGGTACTGGAGGTCACATTTTAAAACATTTATTGTTTGAAAGATTCCTGACTTGCACCATTTGAGACCCTTTGGGGAAAAAGCATGAGGAAACTGGAGCAGCATAAGTTATGACTGCACTTCACCAGGGGCTGTGAAGGCCAGGTGCAGAACAGAGCAGTCAGAGCAGTCACCTGAAACTCTGCCCTTCACAGGAACATGTTTCCTGCTGCTGGATTTGATGGGTTACAGCAAAAAAAAAAAAAAAAAAAAAAAAATTCTTAACTGGTAATGGGAAGAGGGTAGCAACTTACAGGTAAAAGTCATTAAAATTACCTGCTGAAAACAAGCTTGGACAAGGTTCTCAGGGAACATATTCCTGTTGGAGACATGAAAACCAGTATTATATCAGTACAAAAAAAAAAGGTAGTTTTTATCATAATAACTTTAGTGGAAATTAGTATAATGTAGACTGAGTGAGTACTCTGGTTCCTTTTCTGGCCTTTCCTTTGCATAATACTTCCTTTTCTTAAGATTTCTTTTCTCCCGTTGAGCTTCAAATGCAGAAGGCTCTCCTAGTGAATTGTCACTTAAATGATTCACTGAGTAACTGACATGCCTGCTATTCCTGGTGAAAGGATTTGGCAGGTGAACACCCATAGTCAAAAGGCTATTTATTCTTTAGTATTCTGCATATTTCTGTTTTCATCAGTGAGAATGTGTGCATACTGCAAATTCATTGTCTTTGTTCTCAATTTTTTTTATGCCAGTTGCAAATATCAGAATTATGGAATTAAATATAATGAAATGACTATGAAAAGGAATATATGGTTTCTATAAAAACTAAGCTGAATGCCTGGAAACTCAATAAAGGCAAATGACTAAACTTTTTATGGTTAAATTAGGCATGGGAAGACAATTGAAATGAAAAGATTTTGTTTTTTGGCATTTGGCTTTCTTGGCAATTTCTAAGGGTTTTGCTGCTCTCATCTATGGAAATTTAATCTGGGAATTGCAAATGATGCATTTGTAAGGGCTGCATATGCAACAGAAACCATATGAAATTACAAACCGACAAACTCTAAGACAAGATCTTGGCCCTATCTCAAAAAATCAGTGAATAAATGCATTTAAGTTTTAAGTGGAAACAAAATATGTAATATGTATCTTATATCTTTTTTATGAGTCTCTGGTTTAATTGCTATTTTTATTGATTGACACACAGGGTGGACATAAAGTTCCTGTGTAATTTAAATTAGTTTACTAATTTACTGCTTCAGATAGAGAGTTTTCTCCTGGGCAATTAAAAGATGCATTTCCCTAAGTGCACTTTGGAGCTGACCACTCAACCCGGCCAAGGTATACTTTCTGCATCTCAGTTTCTTCCATTCCCTCTGGGAACTACGACCCGTAAATTAGGACTGGCTATGTAGTTTGCTGGGTCCAGAGTGAAATGACAATTCACAATTCAAACCTTATTAAAAATCTCCAGACAGCAACAGCAGAGCATTAAACCACTCATGGGCCCTTGTGCCCCTACACAGGTCCCTCGCCCACACAGCCACATGCTGGCTGACACTCACCTGATGAGGTCTAACATGGCATCTACAGTGCTGACTTCAGGTGTGCTGCCAGTCCTATCAATTTCAGTCACCTTCTGGGTGACACCGGGCTTGATACTCATCACCAGCACAATTCCTGTGACCAAGAACAGCACCCACAGAGCATTAGGAAGCTTCCAGGGCGCCTGGCATACCAGGCACCTGGTGTGTCCTTCTTAGGACTAGCAGACATGGTGGTACCAGGCAGCACCCTGATGAGGACTCTGAGGTCCAGCCAAATGCCACTGGGACCTTAGCAGCTCCATTAATTACTTTTCCATTTAAGTGAATAAGCAGAAAAAACTCCTCCCCTCCTTTTTTTAATTGAAGAGGCTGCACCCTAGAATTGCTTCTGGAAACACCTGCTGAAAAGAATATTCTTTTTCTTTTCGTTTCTTTTTTTTAGCTATGAGATCAGCCTAGGCAGGTGTAAGGGTGCAGATGATTCATTTTCCAGCCCTGGAACTCATTCAGTATCTTTCCGTAAATTCTGCCCACAGATTCTGGTTATTCTCTTGAGGATCATACAGAACCAGCCTTCCTTCCATACCACAGGCCTTTGAATATCTGGAAAGTTATCCTGTGGAAAATATGATGTTCAGGGGTGGAGTGAGGACAAATAGATGGGAGTTACGGGGAGATGGTTCATCTTGACATAAGGAAGACTGTCTACATGGTAGAGGATCTGAATGTGCTGCTGTGGCCTTTGGAGTAATGAGCTCCTGTCACTTGAGTATCCAAGTAGAGGTGGGAGGTCATTTGACTGGAGGGGAGTGAGGCAGAAGAGGCTTCTTATGCTCTTCATTGCTCCCAGCCCCAGAGGAGGTCATGCTAATCCGAGGGTTAGGGCTGTGGGATGCTGAATGGGCCAGTTTTGCTAGTGGGGCAGGAAGAACACCGTGAGTGGGCATGGTCCACTCTTTCCTTTTGGGGCTGCAGTCGGGATGTACATCAGCTAATAAGAAAGCAGCACCTTGCTTTCTCACTGCTATTTTTTCTTTATGTCTGTCTCGCTCAAGAACCTCATGAGAAGATGGGTCTTTGGTTTAGGGCAGAGTTCAGCCCCTCCTGCGTCCCCTGGCCCAACACCACTAAAACCTCACCATAATCATCCACCATTCTTATCAGTTTTAAAGCAGAGTTGCAAGGGTCATGCTGACTACAACATCTGAGTACATTCCCTTCCTTTCTTCCCACAATGGGCGTCCTTCTTGAAAACCCACACTAGATTACACAAGATAGACCAAGCATTCTACACAAAACCATGCCAAAGGACAAAAGCTGCTATTCCCTTATTAGAACTTCCTCCCTCTTACAAGTGGGATTTACACTTGGCAAGATTTTGTTCACCACCAGCTCTTGGTACTATGCTAAATGCCATCTTTCAGTAATTATTGTATAACTATACTCAACTCCATTATTATAGACTAATTATCCAGTTTAAGAATTATATAAGCTCTTGGTTTCACTTCCTTTTATCTGGTGATTCTGACAAGGCATAGAACTGTCACCCTTGAGTGACACTTGAGACTTTAATAGGCAGTACCATGGCTTAAATTCCGTCAGCATTACGTTTTCTTCACTTAGAAGGTGCTATGTAGATTTCAAAAGAAAAAGCCTGATGGTGGTGTGAGAATAGTAGTTTCTGATTTTTAAAAAATATCTGCATTTATTAAAGCCCAACTACTTTTTGAATGAAAATTGCAATTACATAGAGGAATAGGATTCAGAAATACATGTTACCTAGAATTACAGCAATGGCTGTGGTACAAAAATAATACACGACAGCACGCAGACCGATTTTTCCAGATACATTGGAATCCAGTGCAGCAACACCTGAAGGGAAGAAGTCAGATTACATTAATTTTAATAAGCAGATTTCCAGGTCTGGTGATTCTATCCTCAAAGTGTGAAATAAAGCCGCTGAAAGCTATTCTCTCCATCTACTAGGCCCATCTCTCAAAGTTGGTTTGAGTAAGAGTCAATGAGAAAAAGAAGCACTCAAAAACTCCACAAAAAGAATTAAGAGCCGGGAGCCCAGTAAGGAGCCAACTCCCCACCATGTCAGCCTACTCTGCGGGGCCTTTGGCTCTCCTTGGGGGTGGTCGTGAACAGTCACAAGAAGCCCATTCTTGCACATGCATTAAGAACTTCACTAAGACTTGGACATTATTATATCATTGGGCGTCCCAGTGATAGGAAAATTTATCTTCAAGAACCAAGATAGTTCTTTTCTCACATAATGAAAATCATCTGACTCATGTAACCTTTTCTGTCAGAAAGTTTTCATAGTCAACTGAAAAGAAATATTTATGCATGCTCTAAAAAATTGTATGTAGTCACTATTATCTGAAAAAAGAGAAAAACATAAAGATGAAAACAAAAATCACTTTCTCTCACCTACCATAGCTAATATTCTGTTGAATTTTCTTCCATTATTTTTTTTGCAATTTTTTATAAACACAGATGAGAGAATTTTGTAGATTTTAACCCTCTCTTTTATTAATATTCTATTATAAGCACTTTTCCTTATCATTACAGACTGTGAGGATAATTGTAATGGCTACATATTCCTGTCACGTGGCTGGGCATTAATGTATTTAATCATCCACTTATTGCTGGATCTTTAGATTGTCTCAAGGCCAAATTCAATAATAAATGTCACAGTAATGTCATTATCCATCCATGCTAGCATATTTCCTTCCTCTTTTCATGATTTTCAAATTGCTTCTACGTGAACAACCTTACAGTGTGTGGCTTCTTTTGTGGGACAAGTTAAAATCTCTGATAAAGGAAGAATATAAATAAACACTCTCTTAAGGCCCAGGCAATTTCAGACTTATGGTCACATACATCTAGTTTCAAATGGTCTTTGGCTACCAATAAAATGACTGAGTGTTGCCTGGACATGAAAAGTTGTCTTAGCAGTGATTTTTCAACCAGTGTGCCAAGAGTTTTTTTTGTTTTTTTGGTTTTTTTTGCAGTTTTGGCCACGCTTAGGTTTGAACCCACCACCTCCAGTCTATGGGGCCAGTGCCCTACTCCTTTGAGCCACGGGCGCCAAGCAAGAAAAATTTTAAAGATCAATTAAAATTGCTTTTGAAAGAAGTTCAAAGCACAGTAAGTATATTCTTCTTTTCACTATTTTTTGATCAACATAATTTAAGTGTGCTATGGAAGTTTAACTGTAGGTTCAAGTGTGCTGTGAGATAAAAATGGTTAAAAAACACTGGTTGTCTGGAATGCCGAGGACAGCTGTATTCAAGAAGGTAGGCATGCATCCTTCCTTGCTAAAATCTCCTGCTTTCCATTAAAGCTGCTCCTACAAAGGGAGTGAATGCTGCTCTCTAACTGGACTTCTAAATGGGAGGGGGGCAAGCTGTCATTTGGAGGTTTCAGGCATTACCCTGCCTTATTTCCAAAATGAAGGCCACATGTTGATTCAAATAATAATGATTGTCGCAGAAAAAGATTTTGTTATCTTCACTATGTGTGAGTTGTCCCATAACTGTTCACAAAGCCTAAAGCACAGGCTAGTAGGAAAAAAGGAAGAAGAGGCTATTGCAAGGCAAGCCCAAGGGAAAGCTGGTAAACCTGCGGCCATCAGCAGGCACAGGTAGCCTTTATATTCTCTTCTCACACCATAAAAGGCCAGTCCATTTTCTTTTAAGTGACTGGGGGATTATACTTCTCACATATAATTGTACATATTTGATGTGTAGGAAAACTCTATGAGGAAGCTATCACCTTTATGACAAACAGAACAAGTCAATTTTCACTCTAAACACACCATTGCTGCGGCTGTTGATTGCTCCTTTGAGAGTCTGTCTTTGCGATCTCTGACCTCTGTGGCAACCACCACAGGATGTTGTTAAGGGCCATTCACCGACCTCTGGGACATGCACGTACAATTGCCATATGGTGGGCATATTGCAGCACTCACATCCCAGAATAACCTTGAAGAGAGATTCGCTATTCTTTCTTTGGGGAAAATTCAGTTTGGTGCAGTGAGACTCTCTTTTCCTGACAGCACGGCAATTAAAACTAACAATTATGCAAGAAACAATGGCAGCAGCAACAAAAATATCAACAAGAATCAAAGGCTAAAATTCAGAAGCAAATGAACTATTTCCTGTTCACTTTAGGTCTCTTAAAGAGCAAACCATAATGCAAATATATAAGTTTGCAAAGTGCATTGTATGATTATAGAATGTTCCCATTTCATTCTAAAGCTCAGTACATTATTTTGATAAAACAGCTATAATTCTTTACAATAATGGTAGGTTAAAAATCAACTAGGAAATCACCACATTAACAGACATGAAGTAACTTGTTACAAGGACTTATAACCCTCATCTAATACAGGATTTATTTTCAGGTGTATTTTTCCTATCCAATTTAAGTAGATTTTAGGCTCCTGACGTGCTCACAAGGGACAAGAGTTACAGGGTGGCTACAGAAATGTTCTAAGGTATGGGTCGGGTGCCCTCTCAGGATTTCTTCCAGCTGTGAAACCAATTAAATGTATGTAATTGTTTCCAGCGTATGTTAATATGTCTTAATTTCTCTTAATGTTTTGGCCACAGTCTGGTGCTCCAGGGCTCAGGTGGCAATAAAAGGCTTCATAACAATGAGATGTGCGGTGGAAATGTCTTAAACAAATACATCCCCTGCAGTCGGCCTGCTCCTCTGCTGCAGCACAGCAACTATCTCAGAGTCACTTTAAGGAAGGCTTTTATTTCCCTTTTGTCTAATCCACCTTTGTCCTACAGTGTTCCTGAGTATCTTGGAAATTTACTCCACCACTAATCATATTTCGCTACACTCTATGGTTTCCCCTCTACCTCTCTCATTGACCAAGGGCAGAGCTAGTCCCCAAATCCAGGCAGAGAAACAGCCTAATCTTTAAAAACCTCTATTACAGGAACATTACAAAAGGCTATGAAGTGTCTGTCCGTTAGTGTAAACACCCTACCTGCCAATTACATCCATAATGATGATGGTGACAATTATAATAAAAATGATAACGATGATCATAGACACTGTATTGAGCCATGACTGCATGTTAATGCCTTATCCTTAATTCTCACTATAACCCCAGGAGGCAGGCATTATTATCCCCATTTTACAGCGGAGAAAGCTGTAGCTCCTGAGGACTAAGCCGCATACCACGATTATAATGCTGGTAAGATGCATGGTGGAACTGTGATTCCCCCTGCTGACCCCACAGGCCACACTCTTAACCACTATTCCCTGCTGGGTCTGTCCAAGAGCTGCAGCATTCTAGACCAGCACCACCCCATGGAGCTTCCTGGTGGTGGACAGGTTCTGCATCTGTGCTGTCCTACACAGTAGCCACATGCTACATATGGCTAGTGAGCACTTGAAACATGGCCAGTGTCACTGAGGAACTGAGTTTTAATGTTATTTAATTTTAATTAATCTCAATTTAAATAGATACAGGCAGCTAATGGCTTGATAGTAAACAGTGTAATCTCTGGATTCTACCAGAGTGTTTAACATTTATTAAGTGCTACTTCATGAAAGTAGCAATGAAAATAATTTTGTGGCCGGGGGTCTCCACAACATGAGGAACTGTATGAAAGGGTCGCGGCATTGGGAAGGTTGAGAACCACTGTCCTAAGCCTTTTAAACATTTTTTCCCTAATTGCCACTGCAACATTTTAAGACCACAAACTGAATATCTCTTTATATACTAGATGAGTAAATGTGGTTTTTGTGGTGTTTTTTGTTTGTTTCTTTTTCATAAGAAGAGTAGAATTCTCTCCCCGACTCCAAACAAAAAGGTATTTTGCTCCCTGGAGGCCATACTATCCAGGCACCTGTCTGAGGACGGCACCTCTCCATCCTCCATAACCTCACGTTGGGATTTTATGTTCAATAACCACCTGAGTTTCTTGCTCTCACGCCATCGTTGGAGGCTGGTGAATTCTAGAGGATCCCCTCTAGTCCACTTTCTCCTGGGAGCTGGAAGCTGTCCTGTGAGAGGTCACAAGTGAGAGGAAACTGTGCATTCATATATTACTGAGCAGGTGTGACAGGGTCTGCACAGAAATCAATACTGTTTAAAAACATCTCTAGTAATTGGACAGTAATGTTATTTCTGTTGAATGTAATAATAAAAAATAGGGCCAGTATTTTATAGGTCTCTTTTTTGCATCATTTCTCTAGTACTTCATTTTTTTTTTCCTTAAGAGACCAGCCAGAGTACAGTCACAAGTGCATCCCTCTCAGCAGTCCTGCCTCAGCCCCCAGTCAGCTGGGCCTATGGGCACATACTAACATTTTGGGCTTAGTAATTCTCTTTCATTCTTATTTTAAAAAGTTATTAATCTGTGACAGATTAGAAATTTTAACCACTGGAGCACTTTAAAACAACCTGTCTTGTGAAGGCCTGGAGCAGGAAACAGGTACTGTGGGGTTTCAAAGGACCCTGAAGTGTCGCAGATTGAGATGACCAGGAGGGACTTGGTGGAATAGATGGCACCCAAATTGGGCAGAAAAAGATAAGCAGGATTCCAGTCACCAGTGAGCCCAGGATTGTCCTTTAGGACCAGGGACAGTTTGGGGCTAGGATATGGCCTACAAACAGGAATAAAATCCAAGGTCATGCTTGGAAGATATGGGCACCTGCTACAGTTAGCTCTTTATTTTAGAAAAAACCATTTGCTTTTTTCACCTCAGGAGAAGGCTCTGACAAGCCGGGGTGTTGGCTTCCAGCCAAGGAAGTAATCATCTGAACTTTTTATAAAAACACTACAAAGGAAGCTGTTGCTTGGCTAAACAATAGCATGTCTTAAAAATAAACATCCAAG